ATGGCGCTGGATTGTATTGTCATCTTTATAATTGTATAACGGGTCGGTGGCCCTTGTACGAAATTAACTCTCACTCACTAGATATATGCTTACGATGACACATACTTAAACTAAACGTGACAAAATTCACTTTCCACCCAAAACATTGAACATTTAAAATTTGTTCACCACTGCAATTTCGCCTAGTCAAGTCGATAATCCTTTCGTTAATCCCTTAAACAATCATTACTAAAACAACACCAAACATCAAAGACTACCGCCAGTCGCCATAACGCCCCCCATGAAACACTCATGCCGCCCCCATGCCACTATAGCAATTAGCCCATGCAGAACAATAATTTACCATCACCCACCAGTTATCTCCCCTTGCGGATATTTCCAAAATTGGAAATCTCACATTTCCAAAATTGGAAATTTTGAAACATCATCTTTCCAAAATTGGAAATGTCTTGGAAACATCATCTTTCCAAAATTGGAAATGTCTTGGAAACATCATCTTTCCAAGACATTTCCAAGCTTGTAAATGTGGATTTTTTTTCCAGTCATCCATCCACGGTTTCGAGCGTTTGAGCCACGTCATCCAAGAAAAACCTCAACTCCCTCGAGGCTTGTGGTGGAAGCTGTTCCTACTTGTACATAAATACGGCACCGTTGATTTTTATGGCGATCGTGCCAGCGTATGATTAACCCAACCAGAAGTCCCACCCGTTGTCTGGAGGCATTTCCAAGAACGACGTCGATAATAAGGGTAGAACCTGGTATCACAGTGATCCACGAATCTATATGGTTTTAAATAGAGCCATTTCACTGTGTCTTCCGAGTGAGGGACTAGCATATAACCCGTTTGATCTGGTAATGGTGATGCGTACATTCCCTTTTTATGAAACTGAATCAAACTTCACAGAAGAATCCCATTGTTTTTTAGTTCGAGGATATTACGATCCTGATCCATGACGAGATAGGGGTAGGTCAGGACGATATTGATGATCCAGTTCAATTCGACGATGACTTCTCGACGTTGGTACACGTTGTTTTGTAAGTGCAGGATGTACAATGCGTTTTCTGTACCGGGTTCGTAGAATCCTCGTGTGTCCTGAGATCGGAGAACGCAATGGTGGCTTGCGGAGTCACGTTTGTCATTGTTTATATTAGAGAAGAAATTTTAATTGGTTTTCGGATAATTTTTCGGCCGTGCACTTCAAACCCATCAGATGTATGTTATCGTGTAGGAAAATTTTCGTGAGCGATATCGTGTCTTCCACGGTGACGTTGACTCCCTGCTGACTGGTGAAGGCATCCACGCCCACCTGTACGTAAACGGAGCAAACGTGGTATTGGTGTTGTTGGGTCCATTGGATGCCTTTGACGATTTCGACGTTACCAACCCGTGGTTCGCCGAGGTAGACTCGGATGATCAGCGTGGATTGCGCCGGCAGATTTTGCAGTCTGCCGATTCTAACAAAGACTACATCCTCAAAGTGGACTTGGACTATCCTGCAGAACTCCACGCTGCTCACAACAGCTATCTGCTGGCTCCCGAACGGTTAACGGTGAACCGAGACTGGATGTCATACTATCAACTAACGTTGCTCGGGAAAAATAAGCTGGCCAACGTGGAAAAACTAGTCCCGAACTTAATGAACAAGAAAAAGTATGTCATGCACTATCGGAATCTGCAACTGTACTTATCGCTGGGCATGAAGCTGAAAAAAGTACATCGGTGCTCAAATTTAAACCAAGTCCCTGGATGGAACCTTACATTCGGCTGAACACCGAGCTGCGAAAACAACCACGAGCGACTTTGAGAAAAATCTCTACAAACTCATGAACAATTTCGTGTTCGGCAAAACCATGGAAAATTTAAGAAGACGAGTGACGGTCAAACTCGTGCGATCTCACGAGGAAGAAAAACTCAGGAAATTGATAGCCAGCCCGGCCTTCAATCGAAGTAAACTGTTCGATAATGACTTGGCGGCTCTCCACATGAACAAAAGCCATAACAAGCTCAACCAACTCTTTTACGTGGGGATGAGCATTCTCGACCTGTCCAAACATTTAATGTACGACTTTTATTACAACCAACTCAAGCCACAGCACGGCGATCGGTGTGAGCTGCTGTACACCGACACCGATTCCTTGTTGTTGAATATATGCACCGAGGACGTGTACGAGGACATGGTGAAACACATCGATATGTACGACGTCAGTGACTATCCGAAAGACCATCCAATCCACAGCCAAGTAAACAAAAAAGTCCTCGGCAAAATGAAGGACGAATGCGCTGGCCACTAATGGCCGAGTACTTCGGGTTAAGACCTAAGATGTATTCTATTAAGAAAGCCGATCACGACGAAATAAAAAAAATCCAAAGGGGTGAAGAAATACGTTGTGAAACGACACATCAAACACACCCTCTTCAAACAGGCTCTTTGATAAACGCACGTTCAAACACCCCATGAACGCATTGAGAAGCGAAAAACACAACATCTACGGCAGCACTCTCAACAAGACCTCGCTGTCGCCCATGGATACCAAACGATGGATTGCGAACGATGGCATCCACACTTATAGCTATGGGTACCAACAGTTGACCTCGACGCGTTTCCGAGACCCCCAATAAAGGAAACTCCACTCGATGCGTCGAGACAATTGAATGAACGATAGCGTGTATACATCATGGAGAAGGTTTACTACAACCCTCGGGGTTACTGGAAAGGCGTGAGCGCCATCCCGAAGCTAGCCAAAGCCGCTCGTATCTCCGAGGATACCACCAAAGCTTGGCTTAAAAGACAAGCCATCTGGCAAGTGTACGTGCCGGCTCCCTGATACATCCGGAGAAGAAAGTGTGACATTGCCATACCCAACCGTACCCAACCGTCAAGCCGACCTCCTGTTTCTCCCGCACAACAGGGTGAGAAACAAAACCTACAAGTACGCCCTGACCATTGTGGACATTGCCAGTCGCTACAAGGAAGCAGAGCCATTAACTACCCAAAATTCGAGTCAAGTCGCAAAGGCCTTAGAACGCATCCACAAACGCAGTCGCTTGACCTGGCCGACCGAATTACAAGTCAATCCCGGACGCGAGTTCATGGGAGCCGTGTCACAGCTGTTATCGAAGCATAAAGTCCAGTTGAGACGAGGCGTGGCTGGAGCTCACCGAAGCCAAGCCATCGTCGAAAGATTCAACAGGACCTTTAGCCATGTGTTTGTTCAGACATCAGTATGCCCGAGAGATGGTCAACCCAGAAAAACGATCGACGGAATGGGTCATACGCTTACAGCAAGAGGTGTTGGCGATCAACAACGAAGTCACTCGACTCCTCGATTAAAGACCCATCGAAGCCATTCGAATGAAATCTGTGACGATCGAATCGGCTGTGCCATCGCGTCACGGCCAAGAGAAAAAGCTATCGGAACGGGTCTTCGTGAGCTATCTGTACCAGCCCGGTGAACTCGAAGGAGGGGACAAACATCATGCCACAGACCCCGTATGGTCCATGAAAACGTACCGCGTCGACCGAGTGGACATCAAAGACGACTAACCGAATCTGTATTACTTGCAAGACGGACTGGGTAGGGGATTCATCCGAGAGGAATTACAAATTGTCCCTCACGACAGGGTATTATCCCCTTAAAAATAAAAAAATGTTCTGTCTGGGATTCGAACGCTAAAAAAAAATGAAAAAAAAATGTTCTGTCTGGGATTCCAACGCTTAAACTCTAAGTCCGAAGTCCGGCGCGTTCCCTTCACGATGGCAGTCTCACTCTGTCAGGGACGGTGCATTCAAGCTATATATAGCTCATACGCTTTGCGAGCTTATGTGACCCGATTCTAAATTAGCTGATTGTGGTTTGTAAACATGTTTTCAGCGTCCATCGACGCATGCATCGTTTTCAGTGGGGTCTAGACTACCTAAGAGCATCGTGATTGTATTTTATTACACCTTGATTCGAGGTGAAAAGCCACCAGAGGATGATGCAATCTCAGGATAGACCCGTTAAACCGCGCACTCGGATATCAGGTCCTCTGTGGCTCAGTTGAACGACTGATGGGTACGATCAAGGTCCAGAGATGCGCAACTCTGTGACCGAGGTTCGAAGCCTACCGTTCGAAATAAGAAACACGGAGCTCTCAGGGAGAGAGCGGTCGACCACAACCCCATGGGGGAGAAATACCAGCGCACCACAAACATCATCAGACCAGAGACCAGGCGGGTCTCTGGTCAAAACACCAATTTCTCCCTCCGTGGGTGGTGGCCACAGAGGGCTTTTGCTATTTTTTTATTTGAACTGGCACATCGAAGGATGGTTCTCGCTATTTTTTTAAGGGGGGCTGGGAGGCTTAATTCCCACAAATAAGCCTCTAAGCCGCATCTGATGCAAAAAACCCGTAGTTTATCAGAACCTATAGTGCGTGAAGAACTGATTTCCATTTACTTGATGGCCTGTCAGGTCTGTGGTTGAGAAAAGTCTGACATGAAGACCCTTATAGAAATATTTCGCCATGGATGCTCTAATTAAGTTAAAACGAGTCGAGGTGCTGTGTTACTTTTAAATATACTGTTATCCATTTACAACTTCTTAAACATAAATTTCTGTGGCCTGAGACACTAGTCTCTGGGGGTCGAGAAGAAAACAACGGGGATTTTCCTTCGTCCTCGCGTTTACGTTTTCAACACAACTTTGAAAGTTTGTGTCTCACTGAGGGTTATCAAACCCCCCATATGATAGTTGAACCAGATGAGACAAATCGTGCATGTTAGGCTGGCTGACGTGCGTGCGTGCGTGTGTATGTGCGTCTCTCTGTTTGCTTGTGATTGTGACAAGAGAACATGGTTACTTGCAAGTCTGTTTTGAACAACATTGAAATGTAGTAATGTTGAATGTATTTCACACATGTGAACAGTCTTCAAGACAATGTCCATATTCAAGACATTGGCAATATATGTAGATGCCATTTGTGATGTAAATCTCTCTTTTTTGTTTCGGTATGACAGGCATTCTATACGTGATGTGGAAGAATGTTGGACATCGACGGAGGAGAAGCCACTCCGACTCTGATGACGAAGATGAAGACGAAGAATCTATGAACCATCAGAGGATGAGTGTAGACTGTGCAGGGTCCAACCGAGGCTTGTTTCTCGGCATCCTTCTAACGGTTGGGTCCATCATCTCAATCATAGCCTTCTACGTTCTTGCGGCTGAGGAAGCCATGTCGAGCACTGCCATCATCATGACACATCTCTCTGGCACGTGCATGTACCTGGTCACCTCTGTAGCTCTTGTCATTGCTGCCCAGAAGATGAAACACCATCGCTTCCACTCAGAACACAAGGGTGACCTGGAGGACACACTGATTCTCATTTCCCACACTGGATTGTTGTGTTTCTCAATCTTCAGTCTCGTTGCTGCCATCTTACATCCGTACGACGAAAGGAGTGCCTTGACGATTCTTTCCAATATAATGATGATGGTACAGGCTTCTATGCAGACAATATTTATTATGGCGGGAGATCGGATGACTGCTGCAACTCCTGCACAAGTTAGGAAGAAACCTGGTCGGGAGTTGGTAACCTTTCTGCTTCTGTGTAACTTCGCCATGTGGGCAATGAACACCTTTCAAACACAGAAGCCCAAACATAACCCTATTCAGGTGGAATTCTATGGACATGAAGCATGGGCCATATTTACCAATATTTCAGTACCCATGGGCATCTATTATCGATTTCATTCCTCGGTGTGCTTATCAAATATCTGGAAAAATGCATGGAAGATGAAGAGACACATTTGAAGAACCTGGATGGTCAGCACTGACGTTTTGTTTTAATCGCTTGAAACGTACGTGACATTCCCATCGCATATACTTCAGCGTAGAATCGGAAAAACAAAAGAAAGTCGGATTCACCGGAGAGGTAATGTTTAAATGATGTGATTGGATATGTTGTAACTGTATATATTTGTTAATATGGAATGTCATATCTTCACTGTGTTCAGACGTTACTGACGATCATCACGTAATAAAACATAAATAAATAAATCTTCTGTGTTTTGTAACCTAACACTCGAATACCATGAAATGAAGGTTTTATATTACATATAAGCATATTTAAGATATCACCCCCTAAATCTAGCAAGAAAAAGTCACCTACACATAACTTCCATGTTTTTCCTGCAGCTCTATACACCAACGATGCTTGCAGTAATGTAACAGTCCTTTGATCGTGGGTAAAACGTGGATATCGGGCATGCAGGTTCTATTTGTTTAGCCGATTATGAATCCTTTGTCTACTCTAACGATGTAGATAATAAGAGACAAAATATTATGGATGTCAACTTCATGTTTATTCTGTACACAACGTTTCTGGGCTTTTCCTTGCCCCTTGGTCAGGGGAATCACCTGGGGCAAGGAAATGCCCAGAAACGTTGTGTATACAACATTGATCAGTTGTGATGTATTGTGGTCACCATACATAAAAGACATTGATCAGTTGATCATTGTTCTGTGTTCACCATATCCAGAAGACATTGATCAGTTGTCGTGACATGCCTCTGTGTTCACCATATCCAGAAGACATTGATCAGTTGCCATGACATGTCTCTGTGTTCACCATATCCAAAAGACATATATGTATTGTCATGACATGTCTCTGTGTTCACCATATCCAGAAGACATTGATGTTTTGTCATGACATGTCTCTGTGTTCACCATATCCAAAAGACATATATGTATTGTCATGACATGTCTCAGTGTTCACCATATCCAGAAGACATTGATGTATTGTCATGACATGTCTGTGTGTTCACCATACCCAGAAGACATTGATCAGTTGTCATGACATGTCTCTGTGTTCACCATACCCTGAAGACATTGATCAGTTGTCATGACATGTCTGTGTGTTCACCATACCCAGAAGACATTGATCAGTTGTCATGGCATGTCTCAGTGTTCACCATATCCAGAAGACATTGATCAGTTGTCATGACATGTCTCTGTGTTCACCATATCCAAAAGACATATATGTATTGTCATGACATGTCTCAGTGTTCACCATATCCAGAAGACATTGATGTATTGTCATGACATGTCTGTGTGTTCACCATACCCAGAAGACATTGATCAGTTGTCATGACATGTCTCTGTGTTCACCATACCCTGAAGACATTGACCAGTTGTCATGACATGTCTGTGTGTTCACCATACCCAGAAGACATTGATCAGTTGTCATGACATGTCTGTGTGTTCACCATACCCAGAAGACATTGATCAGTTGTCATGACATGTCTCTGTGTTCACCATACCCAGAAGACATTGATCAGTTGTCATGACATGTCTGTGTGTTCACCATACCCAGAAGACATTGATCAGTTGTCATGACATGTCTCTATGTTCACCATACCCTGAAGACATTGATCAGTTTCCATGACATGTCTCTGTGTTCACCATACCCAGAAGACATTGATCTGTTGTCATGACATGTCTGTGTGTTCACCATACCCTAAAGACATTGATCAGTTTCCATGACATGTCTCTGTGGAAACCATTATGTAAACTATTTGACGTCTTACGTCTAGCGGTATTACACTAGTGCATAGTGTAATATTGCCGTAAAAATATTACACTGCAGTATCTTCCCCGGGCGAGTAATATAAGACAATAATTTACGAGTAACGATCAAGGGCGGAATATCTGTCGGAGTGAATGCAATTTTGTAAGTCACTAAGACGCGTAGTAGTTTTTAAAACTGACATTTAGTTCCCGGATCTATTGGCGACATTTGTTAAATTCTGTGTTGCAATGTTTGTGTGCACTGCAAAGTTATGTATATTGATTTATAAACGTTGTTTAATTGATTACATTGAAAACAAAAATGAATAACCTGTGTTTGAACGTTAAACAATAGATACCTTCCACATGATCACAGCTTACATTTACAATGTCGTATTTTAATTGAATATATCGTGTAACATGTTCTGATCCACAGATGTTCAATATTCAATCTGCTCGGTGTATTAATTCCCAAATGTCACAGCGTTCCTATAGTTTAATATTGTTCATGTTAATTGCCATTTACAATACTGACGGTTGCGTTGTTTCGACTGGATTGATAGCTTGGAATAAAACAAAACAGTTACAGTTGTCTTTGTTGCCATGATGAAATGTTTTCACGTACAAACACTATGATGACCGACTCCTGATTGACATTCTATCAGGTCTAAAGAGGTTGAAGGAAACCCAAGTTCTACGGATAGTCAACTTCTTTATGCAATGAGTGCAACGTTTCGGTGTAGGTACTAACACCGTTATCAAGCAAGTGATACCGACACGTCTAACTCATTGCAATAAAGAAGTTGACTATCCATAGAACATGGTTTTCATTCACCTATACAACTTCTAAAATGCCTTTCAAAGAAGTCTAAAAAGGTTGTGTGATCAGAGAAGAGTATTAACACATGAAGGGAATGTCTATTTCATTCGCACGTATTAAAGTAGCATTTGTCAACAATTGTCACTTCATCCATGACCTCAACATAAAAGCTTGAGCAGAGAACGAGATCTTGAAGTGAGTGAGTGAGTTTAGGTTTACGCCGCAATCAGCAATATTCCAGCTATATGGCGGTGGCGGTCTGCAAATAATCGAGTCCAGACCAGACAATCCAGCGATCAACAGCATGGGCATCGATCTACGCAAATGGGATAAGATGACATGTGTCAACCAAGGACGCATCTTGGAGGAAGAGCTTCTCGCAGCCAGTGCGACCAGTTTCACTTACTTTGTAAAACAATTCTCAATGTGAGGTACCTTGCGAAACCAGTGAAACAGTCATCTCGAGAAGTGTAACATTCAGGATTTGTCTACCTGTTTACCTACCTAAGTTTATCTTTGGTTCCCATCTCCCGCCTGCCCTGAATTTTCAATCCCAAGCTTTCGTATCCTTGATGTGATGAAAACTATTCTTCCTTTGTACACTCAAAACAAACCCAGGTCAGTCTGTTTTTCCTTCACATATGTTCACTCAAAACTGCTTCCGAAGCAAAGTTATTTTAACGAACATTACCGAGTGAATTTGATTGTACAATTTCATATAGTAAATTACACAATTATTGAAAAACATTTTGTCTATTTTATGTAATCTTGTGCGAGCCATAATAAGAAACTGTGTAGTTTAAATTATTTTTCTAAATTGAAACATATAACATCAATGAAAAGTTTCTGTGTAAACCTTAATGAGTGGATGTTGATATCATAAGAAGACGGTAGAACAGCATGTTTAATGTCCATTACATTGACACCAACAGTACGAGTTCGGGACAGGGATTAAACAACAACGTCCAAACCTAAATACACGGGTATGCCGTCAGCAGGTGGAACAGACCTACATCGAAGACACCTAAAGTCTGTCAAATGGAAAAAGAAGGTTTGTGGAATGGCTTATTCTCTGCAAATAGAGGACGTTATCTGGAGGATTTGGCCCATTTCATTCCTCTGTGCACATAATTTTCCGGGCGTTAGTAGCGTAATGTGTTCGAGGGAAAAGGAATCCCAGGTGTGAATGTGAAGCAAACAGCGTCCATATTTAACGTTGTTGGGTTGATGTCAAGTAATTGTATCACGTGACACAACGCACATCTGGACCTGTGGCCCGTTCTGTCACTTACACACAGTCAGGAAGTAGGACGGTAGGTTCATACATTCACTGTGAATATATTGATTATGTTTTGTGTTTGTTTCATATTTTAAAGGTATTTTGTTTCTTGTTTGTCCAATGATGTACGACTGTTGTTTAGCTACAGGTAAAGTAGTGTTATAATCGATGTGGGTTCAGGGTTTACATTGTCAGTTGAGGACGAAATTAGTAAAGCAGTTTGTTTATATTTGTTTGATTCGCATTTTAGAAGTTAGTGGTATAGAGATGACAAAACGTTATGGATGATCAACTTCTTTATTTCACAACAGCGACGTTTCGGTATAGCTTCTTATACCGCTTTATACCGTGATGTGCTTGGAAACGATATAAGAAGCTAAACCGAAACGTCGCTATTGTGAAAACATAGAAGTTGATCATCCATAAAGTTTTGTAATCTTCAGTGTTTTTTAGTTACTCGCAAAGAATTTTAGCATCGAAAACAAAGGTTTGTAGAAAGAGGTAACACAAAAACAGCTGTTGAGCTTTATATATCTTTCACGCGAAACTTTGTAAAACGCGAATGTTATTTATAAATTATTACACCTAACTGATAATTTGAAGTGGAACACTTTTAACACGGTAACACATCTCAGGAAGATCATCCTTAACAGGACTCACTATACAGCGGCCTCTTTTGAACCAAAGCTTACGAATGTCTGGGGTATTAGCTTGGACAGCCTAAAACTGCAACTCGGCTGGCTTACCATATTGTTATTTCATTTTACTTGCAGCAATTGTAGCGAGTGTAAGATGGAAAGGTTAGGTCTGTTTTGTCTTTTCTGACGGTGCACCCGTCGATTAGAAAGCGCCACTGTTCATGAAAGAATACCGAATAAAGTGGACAGTCTTGTCACACCTCTCATTCCTCTCAACGAACTGCGCAATATATGCGTGTTACGACGTAAATTGTAATAAAAACGCAAATTGTAATACTTGCAGCAAATTGTAATAAACTTGACGTAAATTGTAATAAAAACGTAACTTGTAATAAAAATTGACGTAAATTGTAATACGCAAATTGTAATAAAAATTGACGTAAATTGTAATAATTTTCGTTGCGGTAAAATGTAATAAATATTTACGTAAATTGTAATAACAGTTTTA